CAGCAGGAAACTGCCGCCTGGTTGGCATAAGTGCCTGATGTACATGGTGCCGGCACAGAGTTGGGCTGGTCCGCATTCCCTGTGGGAGGACCTTCCAGTGATGTCTCTGGGCGGCTCTTCATTGTTAACCAAAGGGAGAGTAAATGCAAGATTGTCCCGATCTTGGAGAGCTAGAGGAATGGTATAGAAGCCATTCTTTAAATCTATGATGATATGGGCCAGTCTTGTGGGATCATGGCCAGAGATGGACGTCCAGGTGGGAGAGAACCCATGGGTTGAATACCGGCATTAATGGCCCTTGAATTGTGTAAGAGCTGCCATTTGTTAGATTTTGGGGGATTATGAAAATAGGAGAATTCCAGGGGCTGTTGGAAGATCTATGTGTACTAAATACAACCATTCTTTTACTAATAGATGGGCTTGTTGTAATTTTTCTCCATTTAGGGGCCACTGCTGTACCAAATAGGGGTTTGGCTTAACCAAGTCAAGGGTAGGGGAGGTATAACAACAGTGGCCACTCCTAAAGACGCATCTGTAACGTTAACCCCCACTGCGAAAGGAGGTCACGTCCCCACAAATTGACTGGAATCTGTATGATTAGGAGCTGCATGTAGCCAATTTGCCCATCTGGCTCTTTACAGCATACACGCCGAGAACTTCTATTCCCACTGTCCTCTGACCTTGCTTCACCGTGGGCCAGAGGAGGGCCAAATCGAGATGACTAAGTATATGCAGTCGGCCCCAGGAGCTATGAATCCAGTGAATCTTTTCCCTGGGATTTCTATAGTGAGGAGGGGCCATTCTCTTGGGACTGATTCCAGTAAACCCCTTGCTCTCCACTATCACTAGTGCTATCACTCATCTTCCATTTTGATTTGTACTGCCAACTCCCCCCACCTCCCCCCTAGATTTCTCTCCTTCCCTAGAGTGTTCTGGACCCAATATGGTAGTAACAACAGTTGCAGGATCTTAGTTTGTGAGGGGAAGATATGCAACCCCTTGCATGGCATGAGCACCTGGACTTATCCCTGGTCATCACTATCAAGGACTCTGGTATTACAGTGACTCCTTTTGAGTTAAGGCTGGAGCGCCCCAAAATAATGCCTACCATGCCCAGTGGCAGTGGCCCCCAAGTCCCCATAGGGACCCTTTTAGGGTGAGCTCCTTCCTTTTGAATCAATTCTGTTGGAGTAAGTCCAGTCCTGCCCTCCCAGTGGTAGCTGCTGGGAGGGAGTAGACAGTGATTTCCTGTCTGTCCTAGGAAGGCCATCCTTGCCTCAGTTTGTTGTGGGGCCGGGACTGCGTTTCCCTGCAAATTTTGATTTGCATTGGTTGGCTCAATGCTGCCCCTTATGGCAATGGGGACAAGTAGATGGGGGCTGAATATTCTCAGAAGAGGAGGTTGCTATTTCACCTTTGCAATCCTTTATAAAATGTCCCATTTCCCACACTGATAGCATTTGGAATCTGTTTTGTCCTTATTCCCTGCCTGGAGAGCCATGGCTTACATTTAAGTCCGGTGGGTTTCCGTTCCTACTAGCTGACAAGGCCTGACAAATTCCCCCACCGTGGTGGCCTTTCCCCTCAAGGGCGGCATAGCATTTGACAATCAACGTTGGCGTTCTCATATGCCAGTTGCAACAAGAGAATATCTACAGCCTCACTATGACTGATCTGCGGCCAAATGGATTGGATAAGGCGATTTACAAGGTCAACATAAGATTCCTGGGGTCCATTGACAAAGGAGCCTTGCTGAATTCTGCCTTCTGGAATACACTCCAGGCCACTGTGCACAGAGAGGCTTGGGTCAATACTTGAGGGTGCAGATTCAATTGCTGTTGTACATGAACATATGGTCCCCACCCCCGCAGCATTGGGGCTCTCAGGTGATGAGCGCCCGCTAGATTGTTTTGGTCAGCCTGCTGTTCACAGATCTCATCATATCCTGCTCTCCATAATAGATACTGACTGGCATCTAAAGTCCTTTAGCCAAAATCTGCCAGTCCCCTGGGGTCCTGTGGTCATTTTCAGACCAGGCTTTAGGATCCTTTTGTAAACGACTGTTAGCCCATGTTCTCTAACACTTTTCCTTGTTTCTTTAAAGGTTTTAAAGGGGAGTGGTTCATGCATCCAGTTACCTTGCTGCTCTTGCATCACTGGGCAGCCAAAAGCTCTCCTTGTAGCATAGCTTGCCTGCCACCTGATCCCATAACCGACGACCTAGTTGATAAGCCTTCCCACGTCAGAGGCGAGAGTCTGGGGCCTTAGGTATTACAGGCTCTACAGGCTCTACTTCAGGAGGAGGGGGTGGTAAATCCTATTCGCGTTCTGTAGGCTTTTGATCCTCAATATGAAGTGGGCACAGTGCAGCTCCAACAGAGCCCACATAATTACAGATGACAAAGGCACTTGTTTTCCCTGGGCCTGATTTCTCTTTAAATTCCTACCTTCTTGTTCCTAGAGATCCAGGTCTAATGTTCCAGCACCAGGGAACCAAGGATTATAAGTTATGACAGTCTGCAAAAGGCCCTTTAATTGTTTCTTGGTAACTGAGGCACCATTCACCTTTCACAACTGTTTAAGCACTGTTACATATTGTTGTTGTTTTACTGACAACTTCTGTCCCTTTGTGAAACCTTAGCTGAAAAACATACCCTGGAACTTGGAAATCCCAAGTGAGCTCCAATGACTAACTGCGCAGTTACTTTCATTTCATTCCTCTTCCTTTTCCATGTGTCCGCCATGTCTCCTTGAAATCCTTGGTCCTCACATGGGGCACCACCTTGCCTGGGCTGACCAGCAGACCCTGATCATCAGATGAATGATAACTCTGACACAATGTTTGCAGTGAAAGAGAGGGCTAAGGGACTGCCTGGCTAAAGGAACCAGACAGCCTCAATCACCTGCCTCTTCAGGATTTTATTGTCACAGCACTTTGAGATAAAGTTAATCTTTTAGATATAATCAGTAAGGTAAGTAATCTTGGGAGGACACATGTGTTGGCAGTATCCTTTAAGCAAGCGCACCAAAGATTAAGCATAAAGATTACAGTAAACACCCGGGGGTCTGCAGGAGCACAGACTTGTTTGTAAAGGTCAAGGAATAATTAGGGGCACAGCCTTCGGCACTCCTCTAAGTCGGAATTCAGATAAACAGGGTGGGCCGCCATCAGCACACATTCCTTTTCTCCAATGTCCTCCTTACAAACTTTCCAACCAAGTCCCATGCTTCCCCAAAAGAGTGAGGAGGAAGAAAATTGACAGAGAAATGGTCTGGGAGGGTGGGGAGTAGTGAGCACAGGAGAGGAGGGGAGGGGGAAAAAGGCCAGGGGAGCCTGTGGCAGGGATGGTGTTTGGGGGTCCCTGGGTGGACAGCAGGAGCTATAGAGGGGGATCTATTGACCACCTCATCTGGGGACTGCGGGACCTGAGGGCAGTGCAGAATTTTGGGCAGAAACAAGGGTCCTGACCCAGTGCCATGCACAGGAAGTTTCATGGACAATAGTTGGGATTCCAGGAGAAGTTGGAGAAACTAGGATAACAGAGAGGAAGGAATTAGGGGGCATGT